ATAAATTACTTGAGTAAAGTACAAACAACTGAAAAAGGTCTTGAGTAGTGTGAGCAAGTATTTCTACTTAGTTATTTTCCACCTCTGCCCGGCAGGCAGGGGTTCCTGGCCCCTTGCTGGTCTGCAGACTGGCAGTTTGTTACCACTGGCTTAGAGGAGCCCCAGGATCTGCAGTTTCAGGAAGAAACAGCAGGAGATTTTGATTGGCTGCCAGGTGCTCCACATGCTAATTAGGAGGCGTGTTTCTGTAAACAGGGACACAGAGCATATTCTAATATGCAGATTTCTAAACCTGGTAGAGTGTGTTTGAATGGGACAAGCATTTTGCTGAGATTATTTCTGTTCTTTAATTTTCTAAGTGTTGTGTGAAAACATTCCTCATGAGGAGAAAGTGAATGCACATGAGTGTGGGTGTGTAGTGAGCAGGGACCTACTAAGACTGTACTTTCAGAGATTGTTTTTAAAGTTGGTAGCTAGAAAAATGTACTTGAAAGTGGTTGGTCTTACTAGCTATGAGAATGAATCACAATGTTCTCTTCTGAGCATGAAGCAAGCAGATAGTGTTGTTTTAATGTAATTGCTGTTGGTGATTGTTCCTTTTTTCCTGTTGGGAAGCTGGAGGAAGAGAGCACAGGCTGAGTGCTTGGCTACTGTCAAAAAGTTCTAAGTTAGTTTTGAAGTTGAAAGGAGCAGGGATTTCACTTTATCATCCTGTTCTGGCTTTTCTTGAGTTCCTGGTTTTACATGTGCTACTATGGTCCTGATCCTGATGTTTTCATGCTGTTCTCTCACCTGCTTTTGGGTCTTTTTCCATGTGCTTCTCACACTGGGTTTAGCCAGCCCCTTGGATCTGCTTCACGCCTTGTCCCTCATCTGTTCCCTAGCGGCCCTGGGGGAGACAGAGGCCCTGGGGGAGACAGATACTAGCTGCAGCCAGGTGTTAATTATCCCTTGGGGTACTGTCTTTCTCCCATAACATGTAGCTAAGATATTTGTTAGTAACTGGCAGACGCTGTGGGGGCCCACCCCCAAACAAGCGCCCACAAACTCAATATTGGTTCACAAGACGAAACTCACCCTGCTCCTGGAGCGGGAACACTGACGAGCAGTGAGGCCCCTCCCTGGCAGCACCGAGCAGTGAGAGCTGAGTGAAGGGGGAGGCAGGAGCAGGGGAGAAGGCTCCATGACTGTGTGAGAGGGAGGCTCTGCTCTGGCCAGTGAGGAATTGTTGCCTCTCCGAGGTGCCCAGGCCTG